GAAAAGTATCTATAAATGGTTGAAATCACACTGAAACGTTTCGGTTTTGACCCAAAGTGATTTTTTTAATTGCTGAAAATTTGGGAGATAAATGTTCCTTTTGGTTCAACCCTAAACTGACTTTTTATTGTTTTGGGAATTGCCAGTGAACCCAAATACTGTTATTCATCCACTGTCACCAGGTACGTGGGTTAGTTCCCTTATTGCTCACCCAGGGGGCACTGTTGAGCCCCTGGGCCTCCTGGTGCCAAACCCCACGTCTTCTGCCACACAGATACAGCTATACCCCAAAGCCCCTCTTCCCTGGGCGGTACAGCCCCCCGGCCTTCGCCAGGGCAATATGGCCTAGCAGCCGGAGTCTCTCGGAACAGCCCCCTTCACCAGGGCAAGGCAGCCTAGTGGCCAGAATCTCTGGCTACACCCCTTCAACAGGGCAGTGCGGCCTAGCAGCCAGAGTCTCTAGCAACACCACCCTCCACCCTTCACCAGGGCAGTGTGGCCTAGTGACCAAATCATTAGTCCAGGTGTAGTGTCCCCCTTGAGGGGATAATGAGGTGGGGTAGGGGGACCCAGGCCCTCCCTCTCCACCAGGTCCCAGCCCAGGGCCCTGTCAGTGGTGAGCGGGTCCCATCACTAGCTCAGTGGGAAGTCCGCCTGAAACATTCCAAGCTCTCGGGGACTCCAGGTCCCCACCCTGGGCTACTTCCTACCCTGTCCCGGATTGCTGGCGCCTTCCCCATCTGTCTTCCCAGGCCCTTCCGTGTCCGGTCTCTTCAGCGGCATCTGTTTGCTGCTCCTCCTCCGGGCTGGACGCCTCCCTGGCCGGTCCCGCTGCCTGGCCTCCCAGTTAGGTCTCTCAGGCGGCTCCCCTGCAGGAGCTCAGGCAATACATCCTTCCTCCTCAGCAGCTGTCCCAGACTGAGCCTCCCTCCAAGCTTTTATACCTGGGCTGCAGTCTGAGCATGCCCAGCAGGGCTGTAGGGGCAGAGCCTTTTCAGCCAGGTGAGCCTGAATAGGCTGAGCTTTCCCAGTGTGGGGCTGGTCTTCCCCATCACATCCACTTTAACAGCTCAGAACGCCACACCGAGCAGCAGAATTTGAGCTTGGGCTCTAGAATTTTCAGTTGCTTTTTATTCAGATTTGGCCCCTTGCTCTTGGCGAGGTCCGACCACTATTGCGTTGTCAGCTGTCTGCAGTTTGTATAACATGGTTAAACAGCCTGTCTCCATGTGCACTGAACACACGAGCATTTATTTTAACAACATTCACACCTGCTCTGACAGATTGTCAGGAATCAACTATTTATAAAAAAGGCCGCCTTGTGATATGCTTTTATAAGTTATTAAAGAGACCTTAATAAATATTTTATAACTAAAAATAACCATTTTAAAAGCGCTTTTTTAATTTTCAGGAAGAGAACCATTTAAGTCATTCATCCCCCAAATTCGCCCATGTATATAGGACAAACGTTCTCTCTGTTCTTACAACGAAGTAGACGTGTGTTGAGGGAGGTCGTGTCTGATTGCTTCTGAGAGAGGAGAGAGATTCTTGATGGTGATGAGGGTCAGACCTGAGAGACGCTCTCAGGAATTAGATCCCTTTTTTCTTTGCAATGGTATGGCAGCTCTGTTGTTCCCAGGGTATTAGAGGCATAGAGCAGGTGACGTCATATCTTTTACTGGAGCAACTTCTGCTGCTGGAAGAAACAAGCTTTCAAGCTACAAAGGGTGTTAATGGGCCACTTCACCGTGAACGGTGCCTTGAAATATGGGTTCATTACCTATGCTAAATAATCTGTTCCACTTTGGGCACAAGCTTGGGTGGGCTGGAGACACTTCCTCAGATGCATGGAGTGGAAACTTCACGCATCTGACAAAGTGGGCTCCAGCCAATGAAAGCTGATGCCCAAAGTAATCCATCCATTTTTATGGTACCACAGGACTCCTAGTTGTTTTTGCTGAAAGAGACTAACACAGAGACCCCTCTGAACCCCCTTTTGATACTTCGAGTCCCTCTCCCAGCCAAAGAAGAGCTCTTTGTCTCTTAAAAGCTTCTTGCGCTCACCCACAGAAGTTGGCCCCATAAGAACATACCTCCTACCCCTAGACCTATTTTCTTCACCCATATTTTTTAAAAATATGGTCCCCCCGCCCTGTACACACACCTCATCCTTAATACTATCAATGACCGTTGAGTGGGTAGCATAGCTTTCTGTGTGGGGGACCATTGCCCTCTAGAGGAACAAAGCTTTCTTAGCTTGGAAAACTAAGTGCTGTATGAAGCGTGAGGATATTCTAACCCTTCCTGAGGGAGCTGTCCTGCCAATTTGAATAGAAAATAGCTGTTCTGACAGGGGAGAGGGGTGGTTGAAGACGCCCAAAGAATTCTCTCCATGCTATCGAATTCTCTGCGTGTACAATTGAAATGTTATATTTGTTTGTATAGTACTAGATCAACGCTCTTGGCTTCATCACTGTTCAGCGCTGCAGGATTTTTCCATGCACCCTGAAGCCCTTTAGATACATTCAGTTGGTTTGCAGGGCACCCTGGTGTTCTTTAGGTGATCCAGTGACGTTTATCTCCTCTCTGTTTTGGAGAGCTGCTTGGGTGGCATTGCGCTGAATATGAAAGTGCTTTGGTGACCACTGCAGATGGGTCTCATGCTCAGTGGCTTTAGGTTTGAACTGGTATATGCCAGTTTTTCACTCGTGAAATACAGATGCCTCTGAACCAGCAAATGTTGGTTAAGTCAAAATAGTTCCTACCTGTCACTGTCTTTTCCTTTGGTCCTCATCTCGACTCACTGCTGGGCTTGTTCCCATGATTGTTGCTGCACGAGAAAGACCCTTTAACAGTGGGGGTGGGTGTATCCGGAGCAGCAAACTATGTGATGGAAATAACAGAATGAAGCAAAGACTATGGAATAGTGTCAAATTCAGTTTTGTGATGTAACATATAAGAACCAAAATGAAAGCCCCTAAGGTATATTCTCCCTCTTTCAGCTTCAGGATATTAATTTTCTGTCATCATTGGCCAAAGATATGACAGCAATCCTGTTTATACTATCAAACTCTACTTTTTCCTGCTTGTGCTGTTTGGTGTCTTTCTGCCTGCCCCCAAAGATAGGAGAGAGGCTGATCTCGGGTGATTACAAATCCAGAGGTACTCTCCTGGATTGTTCTACTTTGACAAGATTTGCTTCTGGCTGAGAATACTAAGAAAATAGAAAGGAAAAGCATGTTTCCCTCTGCTGTAATGTTTTGACATGGGTCTTTGTAGGTACTTTACATTGTTTATGTAAAAGCTATTTAATGAAGAAAAATGTCTTGCCTGTCCATTTAGAGGTCTCTTTCTGTTTTTTAATGATGAGATATTTTATTAGCAATTGTTCTGGCGAATGCTTTGATCAAGGAGAATAATATCTCATTGCACATGAATAATGGAACATGGCAGGCTCTGGAAATGTAAATTGGGACTATGGAGGAAAAGGTGTTTAGCGATCTATTTTGCTGGATTTGAGCAGCTTTCTAAATAAATTGTTTATTAATGACTTCAGCTTGCATAGCTGAATGCACACAGTTAATGATGATGCCAGGTGAGCAGCATTGTTGGAGACCCAGGGCTTTTCTGTCTCCAGAGCAGAGCAACCGAAGCATGAAATATACATGGGCGACTTTTTTTTTTCTTTTGAGCAAACAGAATTTGTTTTCCATTCTAGAATAAAGTGCATTTAAAACTGTGGGCTTTTTTATGCGAGAGGAAAAAAGTGCCTATCCTATGATTTCACATATTTTAATATTGTAATAACAGTTATTTATAAAAATATGCTCAGCCCACTGACTAAAATGCATGAACTTGAAACAGTGCCACTTTAGAGCTTATAATTAGCCATAAAGGGCTTAGGGGAGGGTGTTGCCTGCAAATTAGAAATGTTCTAGACAGGTTACTTAGCAAGCATCTTGGATCTAAAGATAAGTTAGACTTAGGAACAGAAATCTGCTTCCCATGACTCACCGCTGCTTGAGTTTGTGCATATTTTTAATCCACGATGGTTTTGTAGTGTATTGTGGAGTGTAGTCTGTGGTCCCTTCCATTACTACATAGTCCAAGTTGGGACTTGGCAAGTCTCTGTAGACAGAATAGGGTCTGTGGAGCCAATCAGAGAGACAGAGAACCCCAGGGTTTTGTCTCCATCCAGTGGTCTCAGGCCATGTCTTCACTAGATGAAAGATTGATACTGCCGTGATCGATATTCTGGAGCTCGATTTAGCTTGTCTAGTTAAGACTCAGTAAATCAAACTCAGAGGGCACCCCCCAATACTTTTGCTCCTGCGTTTGCTCCCCATGGCCTCCTACTGTGGGGACGATGGAGAAAGTCGAATCAGGGTACGTCAACTCCAGCTACGTAATGAACATAACTGGAGTTGCGTATCTTGAGTCAACGTCCCCTTTTATGACTTCAGTGATTAACCTTCCTTTTGAGTCATCAGATTGTTTTCCTTACTGTGAGATATCATCCCATTACGCATCCTAGCAATAATATAGCCACTCAGACAATAAACAGGATTGCTTGACCAGATCCTGTTAATCCTAAAGAGGAGACAGGGCAGCTATAGTGAGAGAAGTCAGTCCCAGCAGAGTCAGCCATGCAGAACTGTGGCTGCAAAACAGTCAAATATTAATGCATGGCATGTTGTTGTGCTTTTGCCCCAATGGATGATGTAATGAAGTTATCAGAGACTGGTGCACGGGGATTTCTGTGATTCTTGTGAAAGCGCGATGTGACTATGCCAGCAGAACAGAGCAGTGAAGACTGCTGGCTTCAGAGGTCTTGCGTTGAACTGGTGGGGGAGGTGTTGGTCTCCAGCTGAGCAAAGCTGAGGTTTTAAGGTGGCTTTTTCAAACTTCCAGCTGTATGTCCACAAGGTTCTCTGCAGCGCTGCTGTCCCACCTGCTGCCCTCTCTCAGTCTCAACCCCTCTTGCTCTCTTGTTGCTGCAGAACAAACTTGAAGATGATGTGGCGTCTGGGGAAGACGCAAGCACCAACAAACGGTACAGCCGATCGCTGATGGGCAGCTTTTCCAAGCGCAAGGTTAGTCTCCCAGCAGATAACTTGCAGTGGGTTGCAGGAGAAGCATTGGACTCCCAGATGTGGCTTTGTGTGTGTGCACCTGCAAGAGAGAGAGAAATACGAAGAAACAGCACACACCGTCTGACACGTCCCAGCCCCCCGGTCCCTAGTGGCCAAGCAGGCAGGGTGCCCAGTTGCCGTTATTCTTAACAACTTGCATTAGTTCACGCCGAGTGCTGACAGCTGTCCGAGATCCCACCTGGAAAGTAGCTAGGTTCATTTAAACGCTGAGGGTATGTCTACACTACCACCCTAGTTCGAACTAGGGTGGTAATGTAGGCAACTGGAGTTGCAAATGAAGCCCAGGATTTGAATTTCCCGGGCTTCATTTGCATCTCGCCGGGTGCCGCCATTTTTAAATGCCCGCTAGTGCGGACTCCGTGCCACACAGCTACACACGGCACGGACTAGGTAGTTCGGACAAGGCTTCCTAGTCCAAACTACCGTTACACGAGGAGCACTCGGGCTCCACTCTGGAGCACTCGGGCTCACATGACTAAATCCATCTTCATTTTTCACACCTGCCCCCCTTAGACATTTACCTGATGCCCCAATGAAACTTAACCCCCTTCTGAAGAATGAGGCCTGGCTGGTCCCATGGTTTTGTTTCCTTTCTGCAGAAAAAGGGGAGCAAATTGAAAAAAGCATCCAGCTTGGAAGAAGGGGAAGATGACCAAGATTGTCAAGGAAACTTAGCCCGGGGCTCGGTGCACTACAGCAGGTTGGTAAGAAGGAGCCCTGGCAATGCAGTGCTCGGCAGAGGTGGGGCCACAAGTGTAACAGGTTTGGGAGCAATGGTAATGTGAGGGGATGCTCATGTATGGGAAGCCCCAAAATGTTTGTGACTCCATCATTGGATTTGTCACCCGATGTGGCTCTTCCTAATTGGTCAGGCCAGGTCTACACTAAGGGGATAAGTTCGAATCAAGATACTCAACCCCAGCTACGTTAATTGTGTAGCTGGGGTTGACGTTCTTTAATTTGAACTTTGGTACCATCCCCACAGTGTGAGGTCGATGGGAGAAATGGTCCCGTCAACTTCCCTTACTCCTCATGAGGATTAGGAGTTCCAGTGCAGATGGGGGCACCATCAGCATTTGATTAGTGGGTCCTTACTAAACCCACTAAATCATACTCCAGAAGATTGATCTTCGGAGCATCAATCCGCGAGTAAGTATAGAGCTGGCCTCATTGGATGACTGAGCCAAACATGCTGCTCAGATGTGGTTTGAGGTTTCACTACTTCACCTGGCTCTATTGTGAAGATGTCTTGTGTAGCATTTTAGCCATGGGAGCCCCATGGCTGTTTAATTTGTTAAACGGACGTGCAGAGAAAGAGTCAAAGTGTTGCTTTGATTTTTGCTTTTGAAAATCACCTCATCAAAACACCAGATGCCAAAAACGTTGATGAGATTCTGACCGGTTTTAACACTGGATGCAAGAGGTCAGGTGGAGATCGGGTTGGGATGCTCTGGAGCGATTCACTGAGGTTACCAGGAGAGCTGAAAAGAGGGCATAAAATGCGTGTTTGGGGGGGTGGGAAAGGCCAGTGGAGCAGCCAGAAGAATTGTCAGAGCGCTCCATGCCAAGACCATAAACCCACTCAGCACACCCTGGAGTTAGCCTAAAGCTAGTGGGAAGGAGGAGGGCACCAAATTCTTTAGTATTAAAACATACGTCCTTTAAGGAGTAGCAACATCAAAGCAGTTGGAGGTGAAAAACTCCTGTTAAAGAGCAAGCCCACAATTCCCAATTCCTGTCTAGCAGCACAGACTGCCTGCAACACACCAGACCTTAATGTATCATCCCAAGGCAGCAGCTCAGGTCTTTTCTTTGCCGTTAACGTACGAGAAAATGAGGCTCTTTGGTCCCCATTTTAAAAGCTATCAAGGCATTGCTGTGCTCAGTGTTGGGATGTCTGCGTCTCTCTCCCAAAGAGAGTTAGATGCTCAGAACCAAAAGTCCCTTTTCAGTCTTTTCTACCAACTTCCCAGAGACAGTTCAATCAGAAACCTGGACTTTTACAGAGAGTTGTCACACATTGGCCCTCCAACACTCTCAGTGGGAGAGACTCCTCTCAGAGTTTCTGTACCTGACTAGTTATTTAAAAAATTAAAGTTTCTGTTTAAAAATAGATAAAATTGCCTCTTGGTCAGTTTATGGGAAACCGTTTGTTTTATTCACCCAGGATAAGCAGACAGAAGAAAACAATGAAGCTTTCCCGGGCTCTCTCTGACCTGGTGAAGTATACCAAGTCTGTTGGGATCCATGATGTTGAAACTGAAAGTAGGTTGAATTAAGTGTTTGCTAAAAACTAACTGCGATGCGATGAGCTGGAAAACTGGCCTGGAAGGTTTATGTTCCTGCACCTGATTTATATGATAAACACTTGATTCCAAGAGGAATTTGACAGCAATAAATCTGTGTCATTTCCAAGCGGCCAGACGCCTTTTGTTTTGACTTGGGGTCTGCAGTGCGAATGCGATTTATGCAGCAGCTTCATTACCAGTGGATTACAATAACCACTTCCTGTAGTAACCCCTAGGCGGCTGCCAGTTGCTATAAAGGCTGCCAGAATCCAGTTTACACTTTAAGGTGCAGGAAAACTTGGAAGGACATGTATGCTGCTCCCACTTAGAATGCATGGTGTTTGGAGAGGAACAGCTCCATGGGAAATTTTAATCTTCATTACCAAGCAACAGGAAACGCTCCAGAACTTTGGCTAAGTAGCTGAAAGTTCAGGTGCTCCTTCAAACGAGTTGATTCTGCAGAATGAAACTGCTGGGAGATTTTAGCCCTCCTTCTCTGTTTTCTGCACCGGATCCTGAGCAGAATCGGGAAGTCCAAATGCCATCGGTGGCTGTGAGAAATATAGAGGGATTAGGGCAGGGGTGGGGAACCTTTTTGGGTTGGGGGCCGCTGACCCACAAAAAAGTCAGTTGGGGGCCGCACATAAGTGAGAAGCAACCAATCCGTCACTAACATGGCCCTGGAAGGGAGAGCCCAGAGCTTCAGGGGCTGGATCGTGGCAAGCTGGGGGCTGCGTCCAGCCCCCGGGCCTAAGTTTTCCCACCTCTGGATTAGGGGATTTAAACTTTCTTCAAGCATCTTCAAACTTCAAGATATGGGTGAGGTTCTGTCTGAGGGGTCAGATCACTTATTGTACCTGACCTGGATTTCTCAGCTGTAACTCTACCATGTAAGAAACAAAATGGCTGCGTCTAGACTGGCATGATTTTCCGCAAATGCTTTTAACGGAAAAGTTTTTCCATTAAAAGCATTTGTAGAAAAGAGCGTCTAGATTGGCACGGACGCTTTTGCGCAAAAGCACTTTTTGTGGAAAAGCGTCCGCGCCAATCTAGACGCGGTTTTGCGCAAGAAAGCCCCGATCGCCATTTTTGCCATCGGGGCTTTTTTGCGCAAAACAGTTTTTACCTATCTACACTGGCCCTCTTGCGCAAAAGCATTTGCGCAAGAGGGCTTATCCCTGAGCGGGAGCATCATAGTATTTGCGCAAGAACATTGACAATCTTACATGAGATCGTCAGTGTTCTTGCGCAAATTGAAGCGGCCAGTGTAGACAGCTGGCAAGTTTTTCCGCAAAAGCGAATGCCAGTCTAGACGCAGCCAATGTGGTGATGGAAGAGAAAGAGAACCATATCTGATCAGGTGGTTTTTGCAAAAGAATGATTAGTAACTGATGGTATGTAGGTGGAGTGGATTTTTTTCAGGGGAAGCCATCCCCTTCTAACTTCCTTCTCTCCTTGCAGTCTCTTCCAGTTGGCAGGTCTCATCTTTCAGCGAGACAAAGGCCCACCAGGTACTCCAGCAAAAGCCAGCACAATATCTGCGTTTCAACCAACACCAGTTGTCCCGCATCTACCCATCTTCCTATCGCGTTGATTCTAGCAATTACAATCCCCAGCCCTTCTGGAACGCTGGCTGTCAGATGGGTGAGCAAAAGGGACTCTTTTTTTGTTTTAGTTTTTGTTTTTTTTAAATCTTGAGTGTCAGTGGGAATCGTACAATCTTTCTTTGGAAAATAGGCTGAGCAAAAAGCCTCACCAAACACACCAGGTTAGTTGGTTATCCAACTCCCTGACATCTGGGGCTTTGATACCTGGGATACTGTCTGTTTCTCTAGTAGGGCGGGATGCAACTGGTGGCCAAGAGAAGGAAAGTAATGCCCTCCTGCTCACATGCAAGAAACTCTCCAGACAGGAAGGCTGTGTCTACACTGGCCCCTTCTTTGGACTAGCCATGCTAATTTAGAACTTTGGAATAGGGAAATGCGCGGGGGATTTAAATATCCCCCGAGGGATTTAAATAAACATGGCCGCCACTTTTTTTCCGGCTTGGGGAAAAGCCGGAAAAGAGCGTCCAGACTGGCGCGATCCTCCGGAATAAAGCCCTTTTCCGGAGGATCTCTTATTCCTATTTCAAGTAGGAATAAGAGATCCTCCAGAATAGGGCTTTATTCCGGAGGATTGCGCCAGTCTGGGCGCTCTTTTCCGGCTTTTCCCCAAGCCGGAAAAAAAGTGGCGGCCATGTTTATTTAAATCCCGCGGGGGATATTTAAATCCCCTGCGCATTTCCCTATTCCAAAGTTCTAAATTAGCATGGCTATTCCGAAGAAGGGGCCAGTGTAGACGTAGCCGAAGTGTAAGACTCTTTGTGGAAGTCATAGAATCATGGAATCCTAGGGCTGGAAGAGACCTCAGAAGGTCTTTGAGTCCAGCCTCCTGCCCAAAGTAGGACCAACCCCAACTCAATCATCTCAGCCAGGGCTTTGTCAAGCTGGGACTTAAAAACCTCTAAGGATGGAGATTCCATCTCCCTAGGGAACCCATTCCAGTACTTCCCCACCCTCCTAGTGAAATAGTTTTTCCTAACATCCAACCTAGACCTTCCCCACTGTAACTTGAGACCTTGTTCTGCCATCGGTCACTACTGAGAACAGCCTCTCTTCTTCCTCTTTGGAACCTCCTTTCCGGAGTTGAAGGCTGCTATCAAATCCCCCCTCACTCTTTTCTTCTGCAGACCAAATAAGCCTAAATCCTTCAGTCTCTCCTCATAGGTCATGTGATCCAGCTCCCTATTCATTTTGGTTGCCCTCCGCTGGACCCTCTCCAGTCCGCCCACATTCTTTCTATAGTGGGGGGGCCCCCAGAACTGGACACAATACTCCACTTGTGGCCTCCCCAGAGCCAAATAAAGGGGAATAATCACTTCTTTGGATCTGCTGGCAATGCTCCTCCTAATACAGCCTAATATGCCATTCACCTTCTTGGCTACAAGGGCACACTGTTGACTCATATCCAGCTTCTCATCCATTCTAATCTCCAGGTCCCTTTCTGCTGGACTGCTACTTAGCCAGTCAGTCCCCAGCCTGTAACTATGCTTGGGGTTCTTCCGTCCCAAGTGCAGGACTCTGCACTTGTTCTTGTTGAACTTCATCAGATTTCTTTTGGCCCAATCCTCCAATTTGTCTAGGTCACTATGGACCCTGTCCCTGTCCTCCAACGTATCTACCTCTCCCCCTAGTCACTGTCTCTAGAGCTGTGATATCTTAAGCATTGGGTGGGGGAGAGTCCCAGTTCCAACATTTCTGGCTAGCTGTCACCAGAGAACAAAGTTTAAAACACATGCCGGTTTTCTTTCCTGTGAACACTCTCAACGGACTTAATATTGTTGCCTCCTTCTTTGCCACAGTCGCATTGAACTATCAGTCTGAGGGGCGAATGCTGCAGCTGAATCGGGCCAAGTTTAATACCAATGGGAATTGTGGCTATGTCCTCAAACCAAAGTGCATGTGTCAAGGTAAGGACCAGCCAGTTGGTGGGGACCACAGAGGGAGGGGGAGATCCTTGGGGTTGATGGCAGTGCTGTGCATCGTGGGATACACCAGCAAGTGATGGGGCTGGGGCCGTAGGAGTCAGTAAGTCGTTATGTCCGGGTGTGGGGTGTGGATTTTCCAGCGGTTTACAAGGTTGCGCAGGAGTGTACGTGTGCAGCTGCTGGGGCCTTTCCACCAGCCATCGGAAGTCCTTTGGAACTTCAGGTCAGATCCTGTTCTTCCATGGGCGTGAGCTCGGTTGACGTCATTGACGTTGTTCCTCAATTACTCTGCCGTAAGTGAGAGCAGGTTTGGCCCCTTAACTCCAACGGTCTCTGAATACATTGAGATGGATTCTTGTGTTCCCAATACGTGTACCAGAGACTTATTCATTAACACTCTTGGGGTACGTCTATACTGCATCCCTAGTTCGGACTAGGGATGCAAATGGAGACGACCGAAGTAGTTAATGAAGCGGGGATTTAAATATCCCGTGCTCCATTAACATGATCTCGCCGGCGCGCTAGTTCAAATCACAGCTGATTCGAACCAGGAAGTGCGCGCCGGGATGCGTTAGTTTGGACGAAAGCCCTTAGTCCGAACTAACGGTACACCTCATTTTTTAACCCCCCCCTCAAAAAAGAGAGACTCGTCCTCCCAAGAGTTTCTATCTTGCATGCTCCGTAGAAGCAGCAGGGATGGGATGGGGATGTAGAAGCTTCCCCTGAACGGAGTTTGGATGGGCTTGCTCCAGGGATGGTGCACGACTTCATTAAGGCACCTACATCCCTGCCACGACAAACCAACCGCTGCTTGCATCTAAAGCGGTACAGGGACTGGGGCCAGCACATAAAATATCCATTTCCTGGATCTCTAGAAGGCTCTCACTCCATAAGGCACCAGCTTCTCCCCATCAGCCTAGCTGAGTCGGGCAAGAATTCACAACCCCCCACAGCACTGAGTGCTGCCCCAGTCTTTCTCTTTTATGGAGACAGAATCCCAGCTGAGAGTATCAGCTGACAGGTAAATGTAAGTGCTGCAGGCCTGGTAGCCTGGAGGGGTAACAGATTGCTCTCCCAGTAGACGATCATGAAACCCAGCAGAGGGAACTGAACATTATCCCAACAAAGAGATTCCGTAGTCAGTAAAGCTAGAAGAACATTGATGGCATGCAGAGCGGGACCAAGTTTGGGAGACACATCCTGGGTCCTGCTGCGTGTGGGCTTATATCATCGTTTGCTGTCATAATCGTAAAATTTTAGGGTAGGGTTTTCAAAAGCGCTTATGTGACATAGGAGCCACAAGTCCCATTGAGTCAAGTATCAGAGGGGTAGCCGTGTTAGTCTGAATCTGCAAAAGCGGCGAGGAGTCCTGTGGCACCTTATAGACTAACTGAAGTGTAGGAGCATAAGCTTTCATGGGCAAAGACCCACTTCGTCAGATGCAAGTCCCATTGAAAGTCCACAGGGCCTGGGTTTCTAAGTCAGGGAGGCCATATCTACACAAGAAAACTATTTTGAAATTAGTACAGTCAACTTACTAATGTCCATGCTATGGGGAAGCTTTGAAATTAGTCCGAAGCAGGCCCGTTAATGTGGATGTACTACCTCGGCCTTAGAGCCCCAGGAAGCCCTGGGGAGTAATTAGCTCGAATTACTCTGGGGAGTAGTTATTTCGAAACAGTGGCACCGGAGCATCCATACTACCGTTACTTCGAAGTAACTAGTTCAGAATTAGCGGTACTCCTGATGAAAAGCAGGAGTACACATTTCCAATTAAGTGGTCCATTATTTAAAATAACGGGCTTGGTAGTGTGGACATTCTGCTTATAAATTCAACCTAAGGGGGGTTATTTCGAAATAAAGCCCTAGTGTAGACCTGGGCAGAGAGTCTGTCTACCCTGCAGTGACAACCTGTGGCTGGCTGTACCAGCTGACTCGGGCTCACGGCACTTGGACCGAGGGGCTGTTTATTTGCAGTGGAGACATTCGGGCTCAGGCTGGAGTTGGGCTCTAGGACCCTGCAAGGCGGGAGGGTCCCAGGACTCAGGCTGCAGCCTGAGCTGGAACATCTACATTGCAATTAAACAGCCCTTTCACCCAAGACAGATGACAGGATCCAGCCATGGGTATCTCACTGCAGTGTGAACCGAATCTTAGACATCTTTATCAATTCTACTTTGGCACATATGGGCAGGAGGGCTTTTTGTTTGTGTGGTGGTTGTGTACAGGAGGGATGTAAGCGACTAGTCAACTATCCAATAAGCATAAGCTTATCAGACAGTCAACTAGTGACTTGACTAGTCGCTTCCCTCTCCCCCGCTGCCTCTATCAGTGACAGGTGGCAAAAAGGGAAGAGCAGGAGCCAGTACTGGGGGAAGCCAACTTAAAAGCCGGTTCTGCCCAGCGCCGTCTCCATGGAGGTGCGGGGACCCAGCGGGGAACTGGTGTTGCTTCTGCCTTTGAGATGTAGCACATTTCAAAAGCAGAAGCGCTGCAGGATGCATGGGGCGAGTGGGGGACTGCTTGAGTTTCTGCTGGCCCCGTGCTCCCTGCAGCACTTCTGCTTTTGAAATGTACAAGAGCCCGATGAGGCTCTTCTACATTTCAAAGACGGAGGCGGTGTTATCGAGTAATTGAGTAGTCAATGGAAATTCCATCGACTGTCTGATTAGTTGATTAATCTAAATTTAGCATCCCTAGTGTACAGTGCTCACCACTGAAGTCATAACATCACTGTGGTGTGCATTACCACTTCCTAAGGGAACGCCATGGTAACCTGATCGACTTGCCAAAGCAGATATGTAAAGATGGTACCTCAATTGCTATTGCATGCACTTTTATTAAGATTAGATTAATTAAATCGATTACACTAGTGCGCTTGTGATTAGAACAACGCTTAGGCAGAGCCAGGTGGGTGCGGGATATTTTAGGGTTGTGCATAGGGCTGTGCCGGTGAGGTCCTCCTGTAGGCCTTACTCTACACAGGCGCCTTTGAGTACCCAGAACACCTCTTTATAGGAGGCGTAATGACTATCTCCCTGGAAGGCACCTTGCTGGTAAGGACAGGGTCTCTGTGTTTGTTTCAGGCTTCACTCAAATAGATTTGTCCCTGAGAAAGATGAAGCCCTCCTTTTCCACTGTGTCGATTTCCCGTTGAATTTGTCACTTTCTCTCTATCTGGAGTCCTGCTTATTTCTGACAGTGTGGCCTTGAGCAGAGTATTGTAATACTGCCCTAGTGTTTGCACTGTTGTATGTAAACAACTCTCGCTGTTCTCCGTTGGGTTGGTGGCTGCCTACGCCTGCACTGTTTAAGTAAATGGAATGTATTTTCCTATCTCCTTTGCTGCAGCGTCCCATCTCCTCCCACTGCTCTATGGCAGAGCCGTTCATTACTATCCCGTGCTTGATCTTGTCTTTGAAATGCTCTTTTAGCTTCCAACTGGCTGTTTTTTTCTGTTCCAATAAGCCAGGAAAGACACAGCAGAGCCCTTCCCAGCACCCAAAGCCAACCAACTGACGGTTTTTTTCTGTTCCAATAAGACAGGAAAGACACAGCAGAGCCCTTCCCAGCACCCAAAGCCAATGGTGTCAGTGTGTTCTGAATTAGTTCCCTCCAGCGAATCCCAGAGTTTAGGCTATAAAAGCAATCAGTGATGCTTCCAAAGCATTCAGATCTGGGTTTTGAAAGCCACCCCACAAAATTATGTGACACACACATCCAGGTTTTGGTTCGCCCCCACCGCTAAGTGCCGCTGGCTCAGTAACCTGCTGCCTGGTGATTAATTTGGCAACGTGCGATATTTGCAGCTACTGCTCTTTCCATCAGCCTTTGTGAGCAATTGCCTTTTTCCTGGAGGCTCACTGTGCTCAAAAGTATCCAGATTGCCGTGCCAGTGTGTCACTTGCTTGTAAAGATTTTAGCGACAACTATGGCACAGTTTTGATTGTTGGATCTGAGTACAAGTGCTTGAGGCAGCCGGGTGGGGCACCTTCCTAAGTGTAGTTTGTAGTTGTAGATGCAACTAAACAAGGAGAAGAGCGAGGAAGAGCTGGAGGAAAACGTCACCATCCGTAAAATGGTGCTGGTCTCCCTTTACGTTCTCTGGATTCTTGCCCCCACAGGTGTCTTCAACCCAAATTCCGAAGACCCTCTCCCCAATCAGATGAAGAAGCAGCTGGTGTTGAGGATAATCAGTGGGCAACAGCTACCAAAGCCACGGGACTCCATGCTGGGAGACAGAGGAGAGGTGGGAAATGGTGAACGGGTGACGTGGCTCCCCGATCGGAGAGTGTCTGTCTGTCTGTCTGGCTCTGTCTGTCTGTCCGGGAGCCGGTCTGGACCAGGCTTTAACTGTTTTGCATTTGTTTCTATGGGAAACCCGACCCTTTACTTTGAATGTATCGTGCAGCTCATTAAGCTTCCAGGAGCACCAGGTGCCTTTCCTCCCTCAAGCATCAGGGAGCCCGTTAGGGTATGTTAGCTAGAAGAGCCAAGATGCTCAATTCACTGTCGTGCTCATCAGCCCCCAAACAGAGCCAGCGAAACCGAGCGCCTGGCCTTAAAAACGCATGAGACTGCGGAACTCGTCAGTCAAGACAAATAAAATTCCTTGAGGGTCCTTCTTGTCCTTTGCCTATCCAAATGCTATTCCTAGTCTCCAGCGCATGTTGTGCCCTCTTGTCCCGCCCCTTCTTCAGTTTGAATTGTAGAGGGGCTAGAGGTGTATGGGGGAGGGGGCATGAAGCAACATCAGCCAGACTGAAATGAGCCAAAATTGTAGCCTTTTGTCAGTATTGGGGCTTCTTATTTCATGTGCGGTTCTGTATCGATTGCTTGCGGAGCACGGCCCGCGTGCCTTTATTAAACACTAGTCTTCAGGAAATGCTAAGACTGAGCAGCTACCTCCAAGTAAAATTTCCCCTTGGCTCTTTAGCCCATTAGAACCAGAACTGAACCTCTGAGTGGAGAAATATTTTTATGTCCTTTGGCCACTAAGTCGGATTGATCGTAGAATCATAGGACACTAGAACTGGAAGGGACCTCGAGAGGTCATTGAGTCCAGTCCCCGGCCCTCACGGAAGGACCAAGCACCTGTCTAGACCATCCCTGACAGGTGTCTATCTAACCTGCTCTTAAATATCTCCAGAAATTCTACAACCTCCCTAGACAACTTATTCCAGTGTTCAACCACCCTGATAGGTAGGAATTTTTTCCTAATGTTCAACCTAAACCTCGCTTGCTGCAGTTTAAGCCTCTTGCTTCTTGTCCTGTCCTCAGAGGCCAAGGAGAACAATTTTTCTCCCTTCTCACATCAGTGGAAAACAGTCGCCCAAGGGTCACAATAAAGGCCACCGTGAAGCAATTTAAGATTTCGAATACATTTGCATTCCCTCTTTTCTCCGTAATTCACTTTCTCTGATGTTGAGAGAGGTGTCCATCGGCTGTGATTGTCCATAATCCAGATGAAGATTCTGGCCAGAAGCAGTTGAGTAGCTGGATTGTCGCCTGGCAGATGTTGTCCTAGTTTTTCCACAAACTCCCATTGGGAGTCACATAATCTCCTCACGTGTGAGAGCGATTCGCATCTGTGAAGCTCTGATAATATAGTGTCCATTTTCCCGCCTTTTGTCCGCTTGTGTGTTGAGATTGAAAGCTCTTTGGGTTAGGAAGAACCTCTACATCTCTGTGGGTGCCTGGCATAATAGGGTCTTAGAACCATAGAACTGGAAGAGACCTCAGAGTCATCAAGTCCAGCCTCCTGCTCTAGGCAGGACCAATTCCAACTAAATCAACCCAGCCTTGATCTCCGGTGTGGCCTTTAGGTGCTCCCAAACTATATTCATTGGTGGGGTGGAAGGAGCAGCAGCACATCTAACACAGTAGTTTCAAGTAACAGATCTTGAAAGATTAACTGGCCATGGCCCCCACATAAAATGAATCAATTCTTTCACTTCCCATTTTTTACTGCCAAAGGCATGTGGGCTGTGCACAGGTTGTCTTCTCCTCAGAGAGGGTGTTCATTTCTTTTCTCTCTTGCCTTCCTGCCTATTCCCTGCCCTCAGGTGAGGCAAACCTCCGTGTGTGACATCACACTTACATTCTCGGGAGAGGTTTTTGGCTTCACAAGCAGAGGGTAGTGACAAATGGATCCTTTGGGCAGGAATAATTCCCTAATAAAGTTTTTAAAACAAAACCAGGAAGGTTTTAAGGGCGGGGAGAAGCCAAAAATGGCTGAGCCAGGGTTGTCCCAGTGCCTAAGATAGTCAGCATATCTGGCAGAAATGTGGTCATTCTATCCCATGGGAGATTACAGTATTTCAACATTTGTTTTTGTCCCAAATCAGGATGAAACACCTGCCTTGGAATTCTTCCTCAAAGGGAAATACAGGGAAAGCGTTGCTCTCCAGCACTTTTGGGGAATGGGGGTGCCCATTCTACGGGTGATTAATCAGCCCCACCCAGTCAGAGGCTCAGGGCTCATGCAGGGAGCTGACTGACTGGGCAGGGCAGATTAATCTTCTGTGAAGCTGGGCTGCCACACACCTTAGAGCAATGGTCCCCAACCTTTTGGGGCTGCCGGGCGCCCGGGGGCAGGGCCACTCACACGCCGGGCACCCAGGGGCGGGGCCACCCATATGCTGCACTCCCGGGGCTGGCGCCGCTCCTGTGCCGGCCCCTCCTGTGCCACACGCCCTGGAGCCGGCATCACCCACGCGCTGCGTGCCTGGGGCCGACACCGCCCATGTGCCACACGCCCAGGAGCCAGCAGTGCCCATGCACCACGTGCCCGGGGGCAGGGCTGGCCCCTATCACTTGGCGGGCGCACAGAAATGGCCCGGCGGGCACCATGGCGCCCGCGGGCACCGCATTGGGGACCACTGCCTTAGAGGGAACACTAGTTAATGGAATGAGCTGGATCACAAAGCTTATTGCTCTGGCCTTGCCCCCAGTGGCAGATCCGGCTTGTGGCAGGGCATGGCAGGCTGAGGAGGAAAGAAGCTCCCGCTGATGAAGTCAGAAGCCCTGCAACAGCTGGCCGGACAGGGAGGAGTCGGGTGCACAGACACACCTGAAGACGTGGCAGTATTGTCGCTGGGGGGAGCAGAGTGCCGGACAACACAGCTTTCACTGTAGTTAACGTTTTAACGAGTAGAGCTGAAATGAAATGTTTGGATACTTTTGTGAACATTTTGAAGGGAGCGATACATTCCCATTCAATGTTTAGATTTTCTAGAATCCTCTTTTGTTTTTCTGGAAGCAAATAGTTCTGCCATAACATTTTCAACCAATTTGAATCTTTTGGGATCGCAGTTTCACAGCTCGGGTCTATCTTTATGTAGCCCACACACCTCGTGGGCTACATAACTCTGCTGCTGTCGACTTTCCAGTGTAGACTAGCTCTTAGCTCTTTGGACAACCTCACCCTTTTCTTTTCTTGGCCTTGTGGCAGGACTTAGAGGCCTCAATCAATGATCAGGATTTCGCTCTGCTAGGTGCCTTATACACTTTGCGACAAGAGAGGCCCTGCCCCAAAGCCTTTTGCAGAACAGAACTGTCTGAACAACATGGGCGGCCAGAAATGCAGGCAAGAGAAGGCACAGCCTTCCCAAAACTGCCTGTGTGCCCAACTGCTGAATGCTGTGGCTGCCAGCCGGGAGGGGATGGGCCACAGCGTGGCAACCCGGCTTCCCCCAGCTACCGAGGGGCGATGGGGCCACGGCATGGCAGCATGGCTTCCCCTAGCCTGCGGGCGGGGCCGGGTCAGGGCCACAGCACAACAGCCCCAGCCCTCCACATGACCAGGAAGGATAGGGATGAGGATGGGCGGGGCTTAGCTCCAGGGGCGGGGCAGGGCTGAGACTTGCCTTCCCCAGTTGGGCTTTTACCCCCCGCCCATGCTGAACAAGGTTATTTGTACTGGAAGTTCAATTGTCTTGCGAGCAGTAAGGAAAGGAGGCAAGATGTTTGTGTTTGTCTTTAGTGACAAAGTATCCCTTATGCTTATAGCTTCTGAACAGCAAAACTTTAGCCTACAACCATTACTCAGTCTAGCCAGTCTGGTTTGGTTTTTGTTTTTTTGTCTCATTCCAGTTTAGTTGGTCCCAGATTTGAGATGATTCCTTATCCTTTTTGTCGGTTTCTTAGACAGCAATTACTGGAAAGGCCTTTCTCCCTGCTAAGACAATATTGACTGTGTGCACTCTGTGTTTGGGGAGAAGCACACACTGGTAGAGAACCATTACTCAGTCTAGCCAGTCTGGTTTGGTTTTTGTTTTTTTGTCTCATTCCAGTTTAGTTGGTCCCAGATTTGAGATGATTCCTTATCCTTTTTGTCGGTTTCTTAGACAGCAATTACTGGAAAGGCCTTTCTCCCTGCTAAGACAATATTGACTGTGTGCACTCTGTGTTTGGGGAGAAGCACACACTGGTAGAGAGCAGTAGCAAAAGGATCTACCTAATTGTTAAGTTACTATTCCTCATCCTCCCTATTGTTAATTTTAGTTCCTAGAGTTTCCAGCTGAGACTAGGGCTCCGTTGTTCTGTGCAGGTGTAAACCCCCAGCAAGACACATGCCCTGTCATAAAGACCTCCCGTCTAAAGAGATAGCGGGAGGGGAAGAGGAGGCACAGCGAGCAGAAGTAATTTGCCCAAGGTCAAAGAATGGAACAGAATCCACGTGCCCTGAGTCCTCGTCCATTGTCTAATCTACTGGACCAGGCTGCTTCTCCAAACACACAGATCTTCAGCCGTGTCTACGCTAAAGGGGAAGGTCAAAGCAAGATACTCAATTCCAGCTATGTTAATTATGTAGCTGGACTGAACATGCCTTGTTTTACATTTCCCCACCATCCCCACAACGGGAGGCTGACAGGAGCAAATGCTCCTGTCTGATTCCCTTACTCCTCACACAAGCAGGAGTACCGGTACTGACAGGTGCACCCTCTGAGTTTGATTTAGTGAGTCTTAACTAGACTTGCTAAATCAAACTACAGAAGATTGATCGTGGCAGTGGTGATCTTCCATTTAGTGTAGACGTGGCCTTTTACAATCACACGCTCTCCGAACTCGCTCAGTATATGTTGTTTTGCAAGTCATCTCTTTACAACTTCTTTGCAATGGTGACCACCCTGAAGAAATTCTTAAAGCTTCTGCTTAGATGTACACTGATTTTCAAGATATTCCCATAGAGATGGCTGTTAACTTGCAGTTAGCTGTAACACCCATTTTGAATCAGTGGGGAAATGGTCGACGGATGGTGATTAAGGCAGTTACTGTGTGTTGTATTAAGGCAGTTAGTGTGATGTAGTCTTATGTCTTTTCACTGCAGAGCAACAAATTACCCATCTGCCCATGGCTCTTTCATCTGCAATAGTGTGTGATGCCTTTGCGGTGAAGATCAGGATATTACTTGATTTCTGTTTAAACTGGTTTACTAGCCTTTCCTGTCTCTTTTCCAGATTATAGATCCATTTGTAGAGGTCGAGATCATAGGGTTACCAGTGGACTGCTACAAAGAGCAAACTAGAGTGGTTGATGACAATGGTGAGATCATGTTTTTGTTTTATTTTGTTTTGTTTTCCCCCTTGCTATCTAGCACACGCTTGGACATGAAGTTTGAAGGGTCATTTTGTTACATGGAGATTCAATGGGCCAAACGTGGGATCCATTGTAGTAAAGCATTTAAGCACATGCTTGCGTGTTAACTTCAAAGATGCTTACACATGTTCCTACGTGTTCTGCTGAATCAGGGTCAAGGTAAGGGTGTGTTGGGTAGTTTTAGTCCAAATGCCATGAGATCAGACACGAATAGATCAATCTGTAGATTCATATCACACTCCTCTTTGTCAGAGAAGGGCCGTGGTCAGGACATGAGACGGGAAGCCGGCAACTTCTCGGGTCTACCTGCTGCTTGTTCTGTTGCTCGGGAGACCTTCAGAGAAGAGAAAAACGTTTATGAGAAAAGTTAAAGTTTTGTCTTTCTTACACCACTGTGGTTGGAGTTCCAGGTGTGTAAGGAATACCTTGAGGGTCCCTCAGAGCGACCATCACTCTGTGGGAATGACAGTGTAGACAGCTGTTCGTCTCCTCTCTTGACCACGTCTCTTCAGCACAACAAAACAGGAAGAACTAAGTGGGTTTCTGGCCCATCATGGGGGCTGCCACGTGCCACTGAACTATAACTAATAAAGCCTGACTCTCCGATACGCAGGTTTTAATCCGATGTGGGAGGAGACGCTGGTGTTCACAGTGCACATGCCAGAGATTGCGCTGATACGCTTCCTCGTGTGGGATCACGATCCCATTGGGCGGGATTTCATTGGACAGAGGACGATCGCGTTTACAAGTATGATGCCAGGTAAGGCCATGCTCTCTCTCTGGATGACGTTCAGGATTCATTGGCTGAGGCCTTGCTCGGTAACAGCGACGGGCAACCAAGGCTAGTGAGTGGGCCACACGAGTGGCCTCCTTCAGCTCCGTGGGCCGTCCACGGGTCGGTCTCCCGGGACAGGGCAGTTTTGCTCACTGCGCTTGCGTGCCTAGAATTAGCAGGGGGGTGCCGATTGATCCGGAGCAGCGCTGTGATTGGCTGCAGAGGGAGCGCCCGGCTCTCACGGTCAGTGTTGTGTGCAATCAGCCCGCCCCTCCCTTCACGTGCCCTGGCTTTACGTGTGTGTCACTTCAGTAATACCAGCAGGAAAAAAAACCCCAGACAGACAGAAACCCTGCGTGTGGGCAACGGTAAACACAGTATCGTGCGGACCACACATAGAGCCCTGATGGGCCGCAGCTTGCCCACCACTGTTCTGTTCAATTCCTTCATTGCAGGGGTGAGAAATCAACGGTTCAAGGGCCGGATCCAGCCCCTGGCTTGCCTGGATCTGGTCCTGGAGGCTTGGGGCTCCAGCCCTTCAGTCCCTTGCCTGCCCAGAATCCGCTCCTCCACTCTGCTCCTGCACCCTACCACCCTCCCAGACTCCCCGACCCCCAACCCACTCCTGCATCCTCCTTCCTGTCCAGACCTCACTCCCAAGCCTGCTTCCTCATAGCCCTCTCCCTCACACTGATCTCCTCATTTTTGTCCCCACCCCAGAGTGTAGGCGGGGGGCACAATCAACTAGCCTCTCCCCCGCCCTCCCCTCCGGCTCTGGTGTATGAGGGGAATGTGTTGGGTTTTTTCTTCTCACTTTTGTGCGGCCCCAGCTGATTTTTCTCTGGGTTAGTGGCCCCTGACCCAAAAAAGGTTCCCTGCCCTTGCTTAATTGTGACAAGTAAAATATCTCCCAGGGGAGCTTTTCCAAGCATGTACACAAATACACACGTGCAGTGGGGTGTTTTCATGAGGCATTTTTGTGAGCTGGTGGCCTAAAGCAGGAGACTGGATAGTTAAAACTCCTAGATTCTAGACCCTGGTCTGACCAAATTTCATAACCTCCTTGGGCCAGATTTTCAAAAGGGTGCAGCGTCCAGAATTTCCTACTGTGAACAAATTCTAGCTACTTATTTAGGTACCTGTGTGGAAGTAGGCGTTGATCTCTGTTGGCCCTTCGAGTGTCAGTTTTCCCACCTGTAAAATGAGGGCAATAACACATGCCTCTATCACAGACATTTTACGCAGATTAATGAGTGACTGTCTCACGAGGCTCATGTTTAAAAGTGCTGTTGTTCAGAGGGTCAGGAGGGAATGAAGAAAGCTCTCTAGCTAAGCATGCAGGACTGGACAGACTATGGTAAATTAGCTATTTCTTGCTTTCCTGTTGTTCTGGGACTTTTATTTTTTTTCCTCAAATGATTATTTGGCAGCAGTTGGCTTTTGACGGTATAAATGAGAAACGGGGACTTTTCTATGCAGTGGGGCAAACTTCAAAAGCCTTCCTGAACCAAGCTGGAGTCTCGTTTGGTCTTGTGTTTGCTGGCAGCTCACCAGTGACCACAATTCTCACCGGACCTAGTTGAATGGAAAGCAGCCAGCTAGTTGGGCTGTTGGTGAGATCTGGGGATTGGTTTTTGTTTCCTGTGTGTTTCTGATTTTGTTTCTCTTTCCAGCTTTTTGTGCAAACTTATTTCACATAAAAAGCAGCCGAGGTGTGCAACTTTTCCCCTCTATCCTTCAGAACTTGGGTTTATTTGGGGGGAGCCCCACAACCCCCATCTGGATAATGATTGTGACATGTACTGCAGTATTAATAATGGCCCCAAGCCTGCCAGGGACACGCTAATCAATTATACATCACAGAATTGACAGCAGCAGCAGTGTAAATTGGAAAAAATAGGGTGACTTTTTTTCCCCTGTAATAAGGAAGGGACAGGGGAAAACATCAGTCAACTTGGAAAATGGTGCGGCTCTCACACTAATCAAGTGTGGCAAGATGATGGACGAGTCTGATTGCCCAGTGGTTGGACATGGCCGGGAGAAAGCTTGTTAATTATTTTCCCCTCTGGTTAGAAATGGAAAGTCTATAGAGACAAGAGGCTCTCCTCTCGCCTGCCTGTCAGCTCTGCTCGCTCTGTGTTTCAGGCTATCGGCACGTGTACCTGGAAGGCATAGAAGAGGCGTCCATCTTTGTGCATGTAGCTATTAATGACATCTGCGGTAAGGTGAGTGACAGCAGCGCCGTAACGTGCCCTTCATTTGTCATTGTGCGGGTGGGGGATTGGACCACGCAAGGAGGGAGAGAACCCGGGGTGGAGCCCACGCAAAGCTGATTGTGGAATCCAAACAACAGCTGCTCTGTGGTTTTACTAGTAGCCTGCGATCTCTTTAAACAGCCATGCAGCATCCGTGGGTGGTATACCCAGGTGATAAGGAACCCATTGCACGGCCAGTAGAGTCCAATCTCCCTACCGCCCTTAAACGGCTCTGGTTCTGGGGCATCCTTCCAGCATTCCCCGCTCTGCGGGGCTCCAAATGAAGGGCCAGATCCTGCTCTGACTCACGCCTTTCAGGCGGGCACTCGGGTGTCACTCTGGAGTGCACTGGAAAGGCAACGCTTAGCCCATTGTCTGAGCCAGGCCTCTGGGGTTTCGCCGAGGAGTTCCGCTGTCAGTGCGGCCAGAGATCGCAGCACTAACAGGCAGGCCCGGTGCCTGCTTGTTCAGCGCGCGGGTTCTCTTTCGCTCCATCCCCACACGACTCCCCGGACAGGACTGTGGGGGGGTATCGGAAGAAAACGGAACATTTAGACCATATACAAATGCGCTGGGTTGTCCCTAGGTATTACATAACCCATCTGCTTGCTTCCCACCCTCCCCTGGGTCACACTGACGCAAACACTCTGCCTTGCAAAATGAAGGCCAAACCCACCCCTGAGGCACTGTGTAATTTCTGAACAGCTCCTACAGGCCCCAAAGGGGACAGCAGCCCCCTGGTGAGAGCTAGCATTTGGCAGGCTGGGTTCCAGCACTTCAGCGCACGTGTGCAGGTCGGTATGGGTGTGGCTACTGCATTCGGTGCCGGGGTGCTGCGCCGAAAGTAAAACTGCAGCCCTGAACTCTCGGGTGCTTTCTGGCTGCAGAGTTGATGCTGTGAGGGCCCTGCCGCTCTGCCTCCCCGGTGCTTCAGCATTTTAAATGTGGTGCTGAAGGGTTGCAGCACTTTTGTTTTTGAGTGTGTCTTTGGTCTGAGAAGGGCGCTGAGGAACCGGCCTCCTGGTTCATGGTGCTCAGTGATCACTCCCCACCCCGCTCAATCTCTGTGGCCTTTGGCTTGCCTTACAGGATCTGCCGACGAAGGGTTCTGGGGTCGGCAGATCCCCGTCTAAACTGCCGCGCTGTGCCGACAAACAGCTGATTGGCACAGCGTGGCGGCCATTTTGATTTAAATGAAGCGGCGATTATTTAAATTTCCCTTTGTCGTCCTGCCTCATCTCCATGGCTCTGTCAACGGAGCCATGTGGTTTAGACGTACCCCCAGTGTGCAAGTTGATTGTCTCTTTCCTGACCCCTCTTGCCCCAGCACGCACCTCGAGCTGGGGGGTAGGCAGGGCAGAGGACAGCGGCTGGTGCAGGCTGAACTGGGCAAGGAGGGAGAAGCAGAGCATCTCAGGACCGTGTCCATCACCCGGCCTTGCCAATCTTTCCCACAGGGATTGCCCCAGCCAAGCCCCATCCTGGTGCTAACTCTCCTGAAGACAGGCCATTTACCAAAGCAAAACCTCTCCTAAGTGCGGACTCTCCTCCCTGCCTCAGTCCTACCACAAAACAGGGAAATTCTCCCCTCCTTCCTGATGCCATGTGGGTGCTGCAGGGATCGTGCAGCGTGGGGCCCGCCCATCAGAAGATGCTGCAGGTGTCTGCATTGCAGTTAGACACGCAGGCAGCTGGCCCATGCCAGCTGATTCAGGCTAAGGGGTGATTTAATCGCAGTGTAGACATTCCAGGTGGGAGAGTCCGAGAGCCTGGCCTGTCTCCACCACAGTGAAACAGCCCTTAGCCCAGGCCCAGATCTGCTGGCACGGAGCTGCCATGGGTTTCTGCAGTGCAGTGTAGACAGGTGTCTGGCTAAGCCATCCAGACTCGCTCCTTTCCCCCTGCTCCTTTCACAGACCCTGTTGCTGGGGCCAGGTGTGAGATCTCCCTACCGTTCCATAAACATGAGTTTGCTGAGGGAAAACAAAGCCACAACAAAGGCTTCTGTCCCAAATCCAACCCCTGTTGAGCTCCTCTGTTTTCTCTCTCACACACGCACACGCTGATTGTATGACTGTTCATCTGCCTCCGCAGCTCTCCATTCTCAGAGGGGAAGGTAGAAGAGCCAAGATCATAGTAGGAGAGCAGGGGCTAGGGTGCGTTCTGACCCAGCCCGAGCTTGGAAACATACAGAGAGTTCCATTGTGTTTGCTTTGGGGCCTCTTGTCCTGGAGCAATTCCCAGAATGCTCCATTTCACCCATACGTGACCTGCCCTTTTTCCCCGCGTCTCTCCCCCGCCCCTGCCAAAAAAACCCAGAAGTGAATAGCTGACACTATCCCTGCTGCAAACCCAAGGCAAGGGAGAGAAAAAGGCCAAGTGGCTTATTAGTGCTGCTCGTCCAAGTGCCCAGGGCTACCTCTAGACTGGCATGATTTTCCGGAAATGCTTTTAACGGAAAAGTTTTCCGTTAAAAGCATTTTCGGAAAAGAACGTCTAGATTGGCATGGACACTTTTCTGCAAAAGCACTTTTTGTGGAAAAGCGTCCGTGCCAATCTAGACGCGCTTTTGCGCAAAAAAGCCCCGATCGCCATTTTCGCGATTGGGGCTTTTTTGCGCAAAACAAATCTCAGCTGTGTACACTGGCCCTTTTGCGCAAAAGGGACTTTTCCCGAACGAGAGCAGCATAGTATTTCCGCAAAAAGCACTGATTTCTTACAGTAGGAAGTCAGTGCTTTTGCGGAAATTCAAGCGGCCAGTGTAGACAGCTGGCAAGTTTTTCCGGAAAAGCGGCTGATTTTCCAGAAAAACTGGCCAGTCTAGACGCAGCCCAGGTGATTATTGAACTCCAAGAGGGCTTGGTGTATTAAGTAGCAGTGTCTGGAACATACACTAGCCAGCACTGAATTGGTGCAAACTCACGTTTTTAAGCTGGAGGAGTGTGCGGGGCAGGGGACTCGTGTTTTCTTTGACAGATCTGTTTGGGAGCGTCAGGACTGCCTCAGTGACCCCCAGGTGATTGGGGAGAAATGTCGAGAGAAGGAATGTTCCTTCAAGGGACTACTCCGCTTTCCTTACTTCCTGAATTTCTTCCCTCTTTAAAAAAGCTCATCTTTCCCCACCTAATTAAGCTGGAGGAGTGTGCGGGGCAGGGGACTCGTGTTTTCTTTGACAGATCTGTTTGGGAGCGTCAGGACTGCCTCAGTGACCCCCAGGTGATTGGGGAGAAATGTCGAGAGAAGGAATGTTCCTTCAAGGGACTACTCCGCTTTCCTTACTTCCTGAATTTCTTCCCTCTTTAAAAAAGCTCATCTTTCCCCACCTAAAGAGGCCAAGAATGGCTGGGCATGAGGGCGCAAGATAAGAAGAGACTAAAAGAAACCGGAGGCTGTATACCTGTGAAGGCAAAAGGCCTGCTATACCCTTCGCATTCCCCTGAGCCATCCAGGTTCCCCAGAGCTCTCAGACTCCCTCATTAAGTGAAATCTTGGCCCCCCTCAAGTCCAGGGAGCTTTGTCATTAACCTCCAGAGGGTCAGCATTTCACCCGCTGGTTTTAAATGCACAGCTGTTCTCAAGCTTGGGAGTCAATTAATTTCAGAGAGCCCATTTTCCAATGGTTTTCCTCTTTCTGTTTTTTAAAGCTTCTTCAATATGCAGTGGGGCTTTTTTTTTCTTTTACATGGCCCTAATTAAAGGCAGGGGAAAGTGACAGGAGATTCTAATTAGGGCAGCAAGGAATAACAAAATAAACAATAAAGACTTTGTCTCGGTTCAGAGAAGTCCAAAGGGAGCGTCTGATGCCAGCCACTGATGGTTTGAGGGTAAAGCTGCTTCAAGTGTTGCCAGGCAACAGCCTCAAGGGACAGGGAAGGAAAATGCCTACTTGCCCAGCCATGTGCTGGGATCGGACGGGATAAAAGGGAGCAGTAAGATGAAGGCATCTAATTTTCAGTTACATTTCTTTCTGTGTGCCTGCTTCCTTGCAGCCCGGGCTAAGCTGTAACAACTGGCTGCACTGTTAGCTACCGGAGGTATGGCGTGTCCTCTCTGCTTTTGTGTCCATTTGCCTTGTGATTCTTTAGCTGCAGAGAAGTTGTGTGTTCCAGGCCTAGTCATCTGCCAGTCCGGTTCTACTGTCCCTCCTCAGTGCGCCTGGTTGTGGTACAGCAAGAGGAGGATAACTTCTTCTTCGGCTCCTCAGAGTCCATCCCTCCTCCAGACTTTTTGTGAATGTTTCCTCTGAGGAGGCCTTCGCTCTTGGGTGGCAGTTTCTTGGTTTAACTGCTCCTCGGAAACGTTTTCATCTGTCTAAACTTGCCCTTCTTTAGTTGAAGGCAGGCGCTCCCTTTTAATACCTCTTTGGTCAGTCCCACACTGTTATTTGCTTTTCTTGTTTTCTCCTTTTTCCCCTTGAATAACTGTCTGATAGATCGTATTAATTTGCCGCCAGGTGACACATCTGTCTAAACCTTTACAGGAACTTTTGGGCTGTTGTGGATGTGTCTGAGAACGCTGTCCTACGCAAGTAGTTATCTTTAAGCACATCAAAGGAGCCCAGGGTGCCTTTGCTGTTTCATCCCCTGTCTTTATCTCTTAGCTTCCAATCTGCGGCGCTGATTTGTTTTCTGATTGCTTTATTTCCTTTTCATGTTCTCAATATATTACACACCGCTTGCTGCTCCTCATTACCACTGCAGTCTCTTCAGCTTTGCTGGTGTTAATATGCTTGGGCTGAGATCTAACCCCGCGAAGGCTCAGCTTATTAATGAGCCTGTGGGCACTCCCATTCGCATAGCCTTCTACAAAATGGGAGACAAAACTCCCCCTGCCCAGTGTCTCCACCTCACAAAACATCTGTGCACCCACTCTCTTTGGGCTGCATCCCGCCACCTTCATGTTAGGGAGTATTTTGACCTGTACGTAGACTCCTTGTAAGCAACAGAACTGCAGATCGACTCGGTTTCAAC